GAACAAAATTTGGAATAATTTACGCATATCACTATTACATTTGCTTTTATTTCTTTGGTACTTTGTAATACGTTGAACTCATATTTAAATCAGTGAAACCCGAATCAAAATTTTAATAACATGTCAGATTATTATATGAATAGCATTAGAAACAGATGATTGGTGTCCTGTTTTTCAAAGTGTAGTTGGAATTGAGTTTCATGAAAATAATGTCGTCAAACGTGTAACCGGCGCACGGAGATGTAATAAATTGTTTTGGGTATGGTTTATATACATGAGGCCATTCCAAGTTTTTTCTCTGTTTAGCGTCCACCCATCTTTCAACAAGAGGCCCATGGGCCACATCGCTCACCTGAGCACTGTGGCTAGGCAAAGTATAAATTGGTTTATTATTGAAAAGGTAAAATCCAAAAGTAGTCCCATGAACAATCATGGATTTTCTATCTTAAAGAAGAAGATTTTTAAAGAATTTTCCTATATATTTCTATGTAAAACTTTGGTCGGCCATTTTGGCCCCGCCCTACCCCCGGGGGTCATGATTTGAACAAACTTGAATCTACACTACCTGAGGATGCTTCCATATAAATATGATGAATTATGGCTTGGTCATTCTTGAGAAGAAGATTTTTAAAGAATTTTCCTATATATTTCTATGTAAAACTTTGGTCGGCCATTTTGGTCCCGCCCTACCCCCGGGGTTGTGATTTGAACAAATTTGAATCTACACTACCTGAGGATGCTTCCATATAAATATGATGAATTATGGCTTGGTCATTCTTAAGAAGAAGATTTTTAAAGATTTGTTCTATATATTTCTATGTAAAACTTAGGTCAGCCATTTTGGCCCCACCCTACCCCCGGGGGTAGTGATTTGAACAAACTTGAATCTACACTACCTGAGGATGCTTCCATATAAATATGATGAATTATGGCTTGGTCATTCTTAAGAAGAAGATTTTTAAAGAATTTTCCAATATATTTCTATGTAAAACTTAGGTCAGCCATTTTGGCCCCGCCCTACCCCCGGGGGTCATAATTTGAACAAACTTGAATCTACACTACCTGAGGATGCTTCCATTTAAATATGATGAATTATGGCTTGGTCATTCTTGAGAAGAAGATTTTTAAAGAATTTTCCTACATATTTCTATGTAAAACTTTGGTCCGCCATCTTGGCCCCGCCCTACCCGTGGGGGTCATGATTTGAACAAACTTGAATCTACACTACCCGAGGATGCTTCCATATAAATATGATGAATTATGGCTTGGTCATTCTTAAGAAGAAGATTTTTAAAGAATTTTCCTATATATTTCTATGTAAAACTTGGGTCGGCCATTTTGGCCCCGCCCTACCCCCGGGGGTCATGATTTGAACAAACTTGAATCTACACTACCTGAGGATGCTTCCATATAAATATGATGAATTATGGCTTGGTCATTCTTGAGAAGAAGATTTTTAAAGAATTTTCCTATATATTTCTATGTAAAACTTTGGTCAGCAATTTTGGCCCCGCCCTACCCCCAGGGGTCATGAATTGAACAAATTTGAATCTACACTACCTGAGGATGATTCCCCATAAGTTTCATCTTTCCTGGCACAGTGGTTCTTGAGAAGAAGATTTTTAAAACATGCCACCAAATTTTCATTAATTGCCAATTATCTCCCCTTGAATGAGGGCGTGGCCCTTCATTTGAACAAACTTGAATCCCCTTCACCCAAGGATGCTTTGTGGCAAGTTTGGTTGAAATTGGCCCAGCGGTTCCTGAGAAGAAGTCGAAAATGTGAAAAGTTTACAGACAGACGGACAGCTAGACGGACAGACGGACGCCGGACAAAATGTGATCAGAAAAGCTCACTTGAGCCTTCGGCTCAGGTGAGCTAAAAACCTAGCTACCTATTCGCAAAAAACACACAAGTCAAAAAAATAACAACTCATATTTTATAGTAATAAGAATGACGTAATTAGAAAGATATGATTTCATTTATCTATTTTTCATAAAGAAAGTTATTTTCTTCAGCAAAATCCAGGAATTTTAAAATACTGAAACTATTGCAATAATGAAATATTATACAAACATTTAAAGATATTGCCAGAAATCACAAATTTTGTCATGAAAAATTAATTTTCGGACTCCTGATTCTGTTTGTTTTTTTTCTAACATGGGGTGTCAAAAACCAAGGCGCACGCGGACGCTAAACATAGAAAAAACTTGGAATGACCAGACAGGGAAAAGAGTACAGAAGTGACAAAAGAATGACTGCACTTAAGGACATTATTTGGAACCTTTTCGCTATCCATTTTAAGCTTAACATTACAATATATCGCTAAATTAATCTAAGCTTAATGTGCAAGCATATGCTTTTGATATTTATTTCTAGAATTTTTCGTCATACATATTTCTATAATTACATACAACGCTATTGAAAAGAACATGTTTAAGCCATAAATTCCGGAAAATTGAACTGGACCGCTTTCGATTTTAAGGTCGCAGCAAAGGGGCGGAGACATTTAAATCGCATGGAAATGGATCATAAGCACATGGTTTTCCGTATCTGATTTACATTATATATGAAAAAGTCGGAGATGAGGGTTTTGTGTTCCTTGTGTAAAAAAATAAATGATTTATAACCATGCATATAATTTCATTGTATCCACGTTAAGTAAATTAAGCAAGGAAAGAGCAGAACATTAAGAGAAAAACAAAAAGTTCATAAAAATAAACACAATTGTGATAAATATATGTATGCATTTTGTACGCTTAGGTTGGTAGTGAAAATGACACTGACATACATTTTTATTTTCTGAACATAATGGACTGTCTTAGCATAAAAAAAAAATAATTTGCAACCTGTCTATAGGATAATCTGAAATAAGTACACATAGTAAATCCATATATGACCATGCCATTTGAATGCCATTTGATTATTGGCAGGGTTAATTTTCAAAAAATTTGATCGGTATTCAGGGTACAAAGGACAATGCATTAAAAAAATGAATTTCGGCTTCTACATTATCAAGCACTGCATGCATAATTTTCTCTATCTAACGTTCTTCTAAAATATGAATGCTTAAACTCTCAGTGCTCATGTATTATTTGCTGTCAAGCAGCGAATCAACTAAATCTTAAAATAATTATGTGTTCGTACCTACAGTGTATTAAAAAAAATTATGACATTTTCACTTTATCTTAATCATCTTGAATAATAACTGTGGACTTATTAGTAAAGTAAAAATAAAATAAAAAGTTTAGTTTTTTTTTGGTCCGGTGTGACTGTGGGCTCCTACCCTGACCTAAAACTGGTTCCCGTTTTCAAAATTTCTGGATCCGCCACTGCTATATGTACAGCATGTAATCAGCAAAATAATACCTCTTTCCTTTAAAATACCCCGAACAAAAACACTATAGTGAAAGACGTCAACGTAATCTTTAAAACGCCAATAGAATCTTTGAAATATTTTGAAGATGGAAGTACATGTAGATATAAAAAGAATTTTCCAACGACTGACACAATGAAAGCGTATCGAACACTTGAATGTCACGTGAGAAAAGTAATTATAATATCAAAGGGTTCACATGGGCTGACACTCGTAACCTGCTAATTTAGTAGCTAACTCGAACGAAGTTTGAGTACATTTTTTTAAAAATTAGATATGAGCCGCAACTTGGCCAACATTGTCCTTTGGATATGTATAAGTTTTAGTTAAAATACACATTCTGTGCAAATGAGAAAAATGGCCAAGTTGCGGCTCGATGTAAACAATGTTGTTGAAAACTGGTATGCATATGAATAACAATAGAAATGAGACAAAACTGTTAGACTCTCGTTTCAAAAGCTAGTGTCGCTCGGCATTATTTAATACTTTCATGTAATATAATATACCAAAACCTGCTCTTATGATATTGTTTAATACCTATAAAACATAAATTTAATGAATTTTGGAATTTTATTTTGCGCAAAACATCGGGATCCAACTCTCATAGCTTAAGTGCAGTCATTCTTTTGACTGAAATTAGAATCTGCTACAAAAAACAAACAAAAAAATGGACAGTTGTTAATCTAAAGAAGACCCTTAGTAAAGAGCAGTTTTTCACTTAGAAATGATTATTGGGTGTTAATAGATGCATGTGAAGCAGAAAAAGAGATCATGATGTTTTAAGGGATGTAAATTAAGCTTGCTTTCGTGCACCGATTTACACTTACATGCTTTCTTTACTTTTTCATAATTTTCTTATCAAATGTGATATTATCACGAAACTTGAAATGTGTGATCATAAAATGTTACTTTTTGCTATGACAAGAAAAAAAAAATTTAATTTAGCAAAGAGAAACTGACCTGTTTTCCCTGTCTACACAACTTTTTTGGACAACCCTGTTATTAGTGCTGTGCGATATTACCAGTTAACCGGTGTATCCCGATTTTTTCTTCACAATACGTATCGCGGTATTTTTTGTGAATACCGGTTCGGGTTCGATATGCTATAAATTGTTATAAAAAGAGTTATTTGCCCTTTTCAAGGTAAGATATGGCGGCAAGCGACGTGAAGTGTGATCAGAAATGAGAGACATATCTCTGTCAGAAACGAAAAGACGACAACTGTTACATGAAACCCCTACATGTTAAAGCCGATTCTGAATATCACAACTTGATTCGTCAAGTTGTGCCACAAAAATCTTAGCTTGCCACTTGCGCCGACACAACGCGACCATGCAGTTGCAATATCAACTCGAGAATACATGTAATTTGAGTTTGTGTTTTCATTTGACATTGACGAAAAGCAAAATTTATTAAAAACTTTATATTGTGATATATTGCAATACAAAATATAATATTGCAATATATCGCGATACGATTTTTCAGTCGCGATACCCAGCTCTACCTGTTATATGGGCCAATAACACTTATTATAACTTTCACTTTTCTTCATAAATTCATGATTCAAAATTTTTTAATTATCAGTTCTATGCTGTATTTCATGTGTATTGAACATGTTCTCACTTTTGCTGTTTCTCTTTCAGCCTTTTTTTCTCTTTGTTGGTGAGTTTCTTTCGTTTTTTGCTTGGATCAAAATCTCCCTTCATTGTAAACTTGGCTCTTTCTACATGAATTTTGTGTCCGCGTACATCATATCCATCTAAAATCTTTAGTGCTAGCTCCACAGACTCAACCTTCAGATACAAAACAGACATACAATCAAGAAATAGGCATGATCTGTTCATGTTTATATATTGTACTAAAATTTAACAAGAGGCCCATAGGCCAAAATGCTCACTTGAGTCACTTACTTTGGCCTTTCAGTTTTTAATCATTAAAAACTTCCTAAATCTTTCAGTTTTTCAAAATCTAAATTTAAGTGCTAAAAATGATGTTGATAAAATTAATAAGCTTTATACATTTAGAATTGATCCAAATTTAATGTTTTTCCAAAATGTTGTACTAACTTCTAGTTATAGATTATTTCAATTTTTTAAATGTTTATACATGTGCTATGAAAGATTATAAAAAGTTTACTTCATTAAGATCTCACTTGATGAGAGACAATTGCTCTTCAAAAACAAAAGATTTACCCAAAGTTTTATTTACAAAATAAAAGATGGAGAACATTCAATGTTTTGTACCTAAAGTTGAATTTGTGTGAGAGGATTTTAATTTTATTCCCATACTTTCATGAGAGCAAAGCAGATGTTGTAAATGTACATTACATTTTAATGAAAGCAAAGCATGTGTTAAGATATACTAAAATCCCATCTCACAAGTGAAATAAATTTAATAATATTGATCAAAATATTGAAATTTTGGCTTATTACATTTTCCCTGATTTAACCTTTGCCTCTGTCTTCTCATAACATAGTGTCATAGACTGTCATGTCAGAGCTTAGTGGTGATTATTATAAGATTGCAAATATTGGTAACATACAACAACATATTTGGAGATACTTTGAAATCTGAGTCTCTGTAATGATGGATTATTCACTCTCAATCTAATTACAAAACAGTGTGACCTTTGTGAATAAAAAGGAAAATTGTGAATTTTACCAAACTTTTGATTTTCTTTAACACTGCTACAAAAATATCACTTATATTAATAAAAGAATAAATTACAAAATATCTGTTTATTAATTTATTAATGACTTTAAAGCCTGAAGTTATATAAATATACAAATACATGGAATGTGTCTTACCTTGATATAAAAAAAAAGTAACTGCATCCTTGATATAACAGCACCTCTCTTACCTTGATATAACAGCACCTGTCTCTTACCTTGATATAACAGCACGAGTCTCTTACCGTGATATAACAGCAACTGTCTCTTACCTTGATATAACAGCACCTGTCTCTTACCATATAACAGATTCTATATAACTGCACCTGTCTCTTACCTTGATATAACTGCACCTGTCTCTGTCTCTTACCTTATAACAGCACTGATATATAACTTCACCTGTCTCTTACCTTGATATAACAGCACCTGTCTCTTACCTTGATATAACAGCACCTGTCTCTTACCTTGCTATAACAGCACCTGTCTCTTACCTTGATATAACTGCACCTGTCTCTTACACTGATGTAACTGCACCTGTCTCTTACCTTGATATAACAGCACCTGTCTCTTACCTCTTACCTTGACATAACAGCACCTGTCTCTTACCTTGATCTATCAGCACCTGTCTCTTAACTTGATATAACTGCAGCTGTCTCTTACCTTGATATAATAGCACCTGTCTCTTACCTTGATATAACAGCACCTGTCTCTTACCTTGATATAACTGCACCTGTCTTACTTGACACTGATATAACTTCACCTGTCTCTTACCTTGATATAACAGCACCTGTCTCTTACCTTGCTATAACAGCACCTGTCTCTTACCTTGATAAAAATACTTGTCTCTTACACTGATATAACTGCACCTGTCTCTTACCTTGATATAACAGCACCTGTCTCTTACCTTGATATAACAGCACCTGTCTCTGATCTTGATAAAACAGCTTTTTCTTACCTTGATATAACTGCTTTTACCTTGATATAACAGCAGCTGTCTGTTACCTTGATATAACAGCACCTGTCTCTTACCTTGATATAACAGCACCCGTCTCTTACCTTGATATAACAGCATCTGTCTCTTACCTTGCTATAACAGCACCTGTCTCTTACCTTGATATAACAGCACCTTGATCTGCTTCTCTTACACTGATATAACTTCACCTGTCTCTTACCTTGATATAACAGCACCTGTCTCTTACCTTGATAAAACTGCACTTGTCTCTTACACTGATATAACTGCACCTGTCTCTTACCTTGATATAACAGCACCTGTCTCTTACCTTGATATGTCAGCACCTGTCTCTTACCTTGATATAACTGCACCTGTCTCTTACACTGATATAACTTCACCTGTCTCTGATCTTGATAAAACAGCACGTTTTTCTTACCTTGATATAACAGCAGCTGTCTTTTACCTTGATATAACAGCAGCTGTCTGTTACCTTGATATAACAGCAGCTGTCTGTTACCTTGATATAACTGCACCTGTCTCTTACCCTGATATAACTACACCTGTCTCTTACCTTGATATAACTGCACCTGTCTCTTACACTGATATAACTGCACCTGTCTCTTACCTTATATAACTGTACCTGTCTCTTACCTTGATATAACAGCACCTGTCTCTTACCCTGATATAACAGCACCTGTCTCTTACCTTGATATAACAGCACCTGCCATCCCCTTTAGGTTCCCCATTCTGGTCTCTGTAAAGCTTCAGTTTGAGAGCCTTCTTCTGAGGGTCAAACATGATCATTCCACACTTGTTCATCAGTTCCTTGAACTCCTCCTCTGTTATATCCACAGGGAGACCACTCACATACACATTTGTGTTTTTCTCATCTTGCACATCAAACCACTGTGGTTCTGAAATATTTATACATAATCATATATAATAATATATTGGTATGTTTTAGGAATTCATTGTTATAAGGTATTTCTTTGAGTTTTTTGTTCTTGTTGAATCAGGATATATGTGTCAATATAAAGACAAATCATAGAAATTGCTCTATGTCATGCAAATATACAAATGAATTTTGACCTAAAGACAATTTTTCACTCAAAAAACAATTTCTGTACCTGTAGTCAGATTGACTAAAATCTGTCATTCAGAAAATGATGATTACTCCTGATTGCTTGATATAAATAAGAATCTTTATCAGACATAAATATAAACAATAAGATATTTCTTTGTTTGATAAAACAGGGATTATCAGTTAAAGCTGTACAAAACAAGCTTCCACAGATTATTTGTATTTTCTTCAATATTACAACTGTTACCCTAGCCATCAACAAGGAAAGCAGTGCTAAATTTCAGTTAACAATAAGTTTAGGTTATATTAGACAGACTAACAATACCTTCTGCGGGTTTCTGGGCTAAAAATTTGCTTCCTTTTCTCTTTTTCCCCTTCTTTTCCCCCTCACTTTTGGCCCCTTCCTCTTCTTTCTGATCCTGCTGTTGCTGCTCATAATACTGAGCATAATAATTCTTATAATATTCTGTATATTGTTTGTAATATTCTTCACTATTTATGTCAACTCCTTCAGCATTACTTTCACTTTCATTTTGCTGTTTGTGATAATTTTCCCAGTACTCCCTGTACTTGTCCTGATCATTTGTATCGCCCTCTTCTTCATTGGCTCCATAATTCATCTGATACTTAGCTATGAAGTCCTCATCAATCTAAAATCAAAAGTCAAGAACTGCCATTATGTGTGCTGGGTTTCTATTTGGATTACAGAGCTTGGAACCTTTTTTGTCACTAAGTTACTGAACTGCTATGACAGCATTATAATCATTCAATTAAAAAAATTACCATTGTGGTGTTTTTCTAAAAATAAAAATTATTATAAAATATTCTTCAACTAACATCTAATCGATTGCTATCGTTTCCACAGGGTTATTGGTTAACTGGTTACAAATTGTTATCCCTTAGTATTTAAAAGCCTCAATTCGTTCCATTCCAATGCTATTTTTCCCAAATGCATGGTTACCAGTACCATTCCCTGTTTGTTAAATGTGGTATTTAAAAAGAAGAAGCTTAATGCTACTCCTACTCTGGCTTTTCTTGAATCAGCACTGCAGGTGATTCTAGCAGTTTGTTATAAAATTTCTAACCTTTGGAAACCATGCTCTCTTCTCTTCATCCCAATCATAAACAGTGCCATCTTCATCTGTTTTTGTTAATGCACCCTCTTTCTTTTTCCTTTCCAGTTCTTCGAGCTCCAGTTGTTCTGTAAATGATATTTCTTCCTCCATCTGGAATATTTGTAAGCAAAGTCAATGAGGAATGTGTTTCATTTAGCTTGAACATACAATTTTAAACTGAAGCTTTTCTCCCTTGATCATAAGTCTGGTTGACCTTATCTTACCCCCAAGTGTCATGATTTTTATAGATGTAGTCCAGTTCACTCCTTAGGGCCATGATTCAAACAAACTTGAAGCTACAATACCTCAAGACACTTCCATACATGCATCAATGTGATTAAATAAGTTTTGCTGTTCTTGAAAGAAAAATTTAAAAGATTTTTTTCTATAGGGTAAACTGATCGTGAGTCGGACACATATTTTTTTTAACATGAACTGTATTTAATCCAATGAGTGTACAGTGATAAACTTTGCTTTGATGTTCTCCATCGGGACTCATCTAGCGTTTTTATGTCCTTTAATGCTTTAATATGTTCCGAATTGAATAAAATCTTTCGAAATAAGAAAAAGTTGCGAGTGACCGTAAGTCGGACACCATGTGATCGAAAGTCGGACATAGTTTTACAACTTGATAATGAGACGCGCAAGCAGCACAATCGATGGGATAATTTATTGAATCTATCGAAAAGAAGCGATTCACAGGTAAATTAAACATCAAAATAATTTAGTATGACGTTTTCACCGAAATTTCCACCAAAAGCTTATTGCAAAATTTCAAAAGCATGTATAGGCCTTATTAAAATTTAAATAAATTATTTTAAATGAAAAATTCATTAAAGTTGGACCGGTACTCTATTTGACTACTTGAATAAATCTGTATTTCCATAGTATTGTGATGGAGCGTATTTGACCATGCCTTCTATAATTGAATCAGAGGAGTATTGGAAATGGACTCTTCCAATAGGCTGATCACCCCCTTGAGTAGGTAGAATAGGCCAGGTATATATAAATGAGACGCTAGCAGCTGCGAGGCGTTGATTTTAAGAAATCAGTTAGCGACTACAGATCCTGGAGAAGAAAGTGGAAGAACCGCTAGTTATTTATAATTCATTACTAAAAAATAAAAAAAGGAAAGGCAACAGTCTACAGAAATTGTTGCAGTATGTTTTTGTTATTCTCACACCTGTTTAGCCATTCTTATGTGTATATCATACATATCCTATTTACATAAAAATAGCAACAATATATACATATATCTGAATTGTGTTTTATTGTTTTTTAAATGTAGAAGATGAAAAAAGCCAAGTGCTTAAATGCATATATTAGTCAATAAAAACTTAATAATTTGATAACAACAAATATTTCAGTTTCAATTATCAACAAGTTCACGCAGTGGCATTGCTGTTTCCTCAATTTTCCCTTTTTTTTCCTTTTCCTTTGTTTGCAGTTTTGATCTTGCCTCTCTTCAATGCCTTCTTTTCCTGTTTTTCTTTTTTAATTTCTTGTGCTTGTTTTTTGTGTTTGTAAGCTTCGTCGGCCGTAATAACAAAATAATGTGTTTCAGGCTTGTTGAGTTTGCTCGATTTTGAAGCCCTCAAAATGGGATCCGGAAGTGACAGAATGCTGGTATTTTCCTCCGAGTTCTCATTTTGATCAAATGGCAAGGAAGGGTCAGAGATGTTCCCATTATTACAATTTATTTTGTACATTTTCCAAGTTTGGAAAAGAGGGTCTTTAATGTCTTTGTTGCTAATTAATGCTGCCGTAAATTTCAACAGCTTAGCTGAATCAATTGTAGATTCAAGAACCTCTAATGCTCTTTCATTTGTTACAGGCGCAAGATCTGTTTCAACAGCAGTACCATCTGTCAAGGATTCTACACTTATCTGCCCATCAGCATCCATTGTAATGGGAAGGTTAATTAGGGTTGCTGATGTTAAATCAGCGGAAGAAAATAAAGGGACATCTAAGGAAATAGAATGTGACTGATCAACTGCTTCAAGCTCCGCTGACGTAGAAAGCTCTGGAGATAAAGAATGCTCATCAGAATGGTGTGGGGTTTCCTGGGAGCATGCACTAGTGTACAGGGTTGCGGGTTTGTAAGCCTCATCCGGGATAGCCTCAGGGTTGAATGGGAAGATCCCAGTTGCTCTGAACCCATTTTGGATGATTGAAGGTTCAGTGGCAGATTTCCAGGCTTTGGTAAACATTCGGAAGAACTGTCCATGACCTACTGGAACCCCGGTAACTTGAATGAAATTGCTAAGTTCAGCATTCCATGTGTTCTTCAGAGATTTAAAAAAACTCCTATCTAAGGGTTGGGTCCAATGGCTAGTGTGGCTTGGAAGCTCTATGATGATGATGTTTTCGCTTCGTGCCAACTCGATAAACTCCACATTGTTGTGTGAGCTATGGCCATCACATACAAGAAGCTGAGGGCGATGTTGCCCAATAAAAGGTAGAAATGTGGACTCAAACCAAAGCCGTCCTATACCATCTTTAGTCCACCCAGAGTCTGACAGAGATATATTTGCGTTTTTAATTGGAGTTTTCTGCAAGTACTCAGTATCATAGCTATTAAGACTGCGCTTTGTTTTGCCAGGAATGATAAAGTGAGGTGGAACTGTGCAACCGTTTGCATTGGCACAAACAATTACAGTGACAAGTTGTCGCTGTGTAGAACATTTGGCGTGGACAGTTTTTGATCCCTTCTCTGCCACGATTTTTCCAGGCTTGTGGGCTAATGTTAGCCCAGTTTCATCCATGTTCCAAATGTGCTCTGCCTGCATGTCGTTTTCATTGAAAACTTTCCCGAGTGCAAGGAAAAACTTTTCTACTCTGTCCTTGGTCATGGCAGCATGTCTGCTTGAAGCAGTAGCTTCTGGCGACCTTAAAGAAAAACTGCTATGTCTTTTTTTAAGTCGCCTCCACCACATTTCAGAGGGATTTTTATTTTTGAATGCGACATTTTTTGTTTTTGCCATAGCACTCGCTGCTCTCATAAAATTATATTTGCTAAATCCTATCCCCAGAGCAGCCCTCTCTTTTGCTGTCTCTATCAATTCCTTTTCATCTTCAAGAGATAATTTGGGTTTTGACCCCCATACCCCATCCTCTTTCACTTTCCCACTAACTCTGTCGCTCAGAGTTGATGAGGGTACAGAATATTTCTCTGCAGCTTTTCGGAGGGAGGAATAACCTGATTTTACTTCAGTAATTGCCCGGTGCATATTTTCAGGATCCCAAGCTCCATAGACTCTTTTTTTCTTTGTCTGACACCTTAGCATCTGTAAAGTTTAAAATTTTGTTTGTGTGATTTTTTCACGTTTTTCTAACAAATGTATATGAAATTTGAAAGTACCAGGGCAAAAATTCTATTGTGATATTATTTTTTTTCTCTTTCTGTATTTATTCGTTTTATTAATTTTTTCATATCGTTCTGAGAAATATAATCTTAAAATTTTATCAGCAAATGGTTCGATTGCGCCAATCTCCCACCAGAGGGCATTTTACGCTCATCGCTCCAACAAAATATTTAATACCAGAGAGCTTTAAACACATAACATCATTGACAAAACATACAAAACAGTCAATATTTATACAATTTCTGTTGACATTTAATTATTTGACAATCTGCACTACTTTTTAGACGACAACAGAGGTGTAAGCGGAGCGCGCCCTCTGGTGAGAGATTGCGATTGTGCATCTGGATTGAGTTGCCTTGCTGATTAAAGTTTTATTCTTTGATTTCATTGGTTCTTTAATTTGATTGGTTATTGTTTATCAGTACACGTTTTTTCATATAGTTCATTTTTCTCAAACGATTACTTTAGGTAAATTATCTCATATGTTATTTTCCAAATTTCTATTATTTTGACTTATTATACTTTCTTTATTTTAGATCAATGCCTTTGTTTCCTCAATAAGTGATGAAAACGTAACATCTGCCTTACTCCTTACTGCTCGGTTACACTTTACATGTACCAAGCGCGTCTCCTTCATATCCCTAAAATTTTTGTTAATTATTTTTTTAATCGGGGGGGGGGGGTTACAAGTAATTTACTTTTATGAACTGTCATTAAGTAAACAAAATATACATTCGTAAAAAGTTTATTTTCTCTTTAGTTATTTATTTGGGAGTGTGGGTGGTTACAAATAAAATATTCTTTTTTTTTCACTTGGACCCTTCTAAAAGAACTGTCATTTATCAAGAAAAAATATATAACAACATGGTCCAATTCAACATTTATTAATTCATTCCCATAATATAATTATAAACGAGTCTGCATCGATATAATTGAGTTTGGACACATTGCAAATCACCACACTTTTAATTCATATTTGTCCAAAACTTCTTTAACACGATTGATTTGTTCATCTTTAGTGAAAAACCCTACGTTACACCTCTGGAGAGGACCACACTTTTTATTAAATTTTTCAGGAATTCCCTTCGGTTTTACGTAAAATTTTTCGTGGATAAGATTTTCCTCAAAGAGTTTACACAAATGGAGCGCATCTTTCCGGCAGAAGTAGGCTCGTTTATCGGAGCAATCTGTATCTGCATACACCGCCACAGCATGATTATCTTTGGGGTTTAAAGGTTCATTTCTGGCGAAGTATATGTTACCAACCCTTAATTCTGTCCCTCCCCAGTGGTGCATGCCCACCGCATACACACCAAAAACGGCGACTTTCTTCATATTTGACTTTGACTGAAATGACAATATAAAAATATACGTGAACGCGTAAATTAATCATTTATTTTTAAATTTTTTTTTTAGAAATATACTTATCGATTCAAATAATTATTTAAATGTCTTTGAAATATATGCCGATTTTTATGACTAGATTGAAGAATACACACTTTCCAAATTTTGAACCTTGTGGGTATTTTTTAAAAGGTAGGTCTAGATATATAAATATGTATTCATTTATTAATAACATGATGAAAGCAATACAACATATTCTTTTTCTCATTAGATTTAGTTTTTTTCAATTGCCCCAGTAGTTTCAAATTTCAATAGTGATTGTTTTCAAGCAACCATTGCATATTTTAATTAATGATCTTGACAAGCTGTCCGACTCAATATCAATTGATAAAATATAGCTGTCCGACTTAATATCAATTTAGCCATCTTGATTATTTCATAAGACACGATCCTATCTCCGAAAATATAAATTAATATATATTTTTTTTTATGAAATAAACATCTGTTACAAATATTATATGTAGAAATTTTAAGAAAAAATAGTCTTAAAATACAGAAATGAAATGAATAAAAAGATATCAAAAAGGATTAAAATCCCTTAATGGGTGCCTCATTTTACCGTGTTTGAAGTTGCCACTTCTTGACGCTGCAGCAGAAAGACCCGGATGACACTGTGTGTAAAGCGCGATAACTCTAATAACCAAAAGACAACAAAAACGATATCTGTTGATAGTTTATTCATAAAGCAAAGGATGCGAAAGTAAATGTTGATCAAAGTTGGTGTCCGACTCATGATCGCGTCCGACTCACGATCAGTTTACCCTACATCTAAACGTTAAACTCTGACTGTCCTTTGGGCCTCACCCTATATCCAGGGGGTCATAAATGGAACTAACTTGAATCAATACCTGAGGACATTTCCATATCAATTTTACTAATAATGGCTAACTTCTATTCTTATGAAGAAAATTTATTTCTAGATACATGTTATATGCCTTTATATTTATATCCAATAAATATTATTTAGTTTATTTCTAAAGAAGACCATGATTGCCATTAATCAGAGCATAAATGACTCTAAGCAAGCAAGTGAATAGATTTCTTGAACAATGGCCATTCCATGAATTATTCAAATAATAACATACAGGTGACTCTCGATCTCTCGAAGTTCAAGGGACCGCAAGAAAAGTTCGAGAGATCGAGGGGTTCGAGAGATAGGAAGTAAAGAAAATCCGGAATTTTCAGTTCCAATCACCGAAGTTCTACTTTTATAGATACCGGAAGTATATGTAAATAAAGTCATTGCACGCTTTCAATCGTATTTGACAGGTAGTTTACGTGATATAAACAACAATGATTGCATTTCGAATAAATAAAACTAATTTCTAAAGTTTTAGTATTTATTTATTGTTATTTCATGATTACGTGAAACCCGAATAGCAAGTGTCGGTTTGGCTATTCCGCGGCTTGATCGGGACCTTCACCAATGTTCAACAGATTTTTCTTAATCGGTATTCAGTCCTTGAGAAAGGAATATTCTTGTGCAATATTTGCCATGCTGGAATTATTTAGACTCTATTTAATCATAATAAAAGTTCATAGTCTATCGGAACTTACTGAAACGAACATCTATAATTTAAATTTCTAAAAATTATCGTCTCAGTTTCAATTCGAAATAAGTTGTTTATAATCTACTCTGTAATTAATAACCAACTAATTATATAAAAACACGGACAACCCACAGGTGTAGTGTCATCTATGTAAACACCCAATTAACACCTCCATGCCAGCCCATGGATTTCATTGTTTCCAGGTAAGTCCAGACTGCATCAATTTTACGCTTGATTGGCGTGTATAAACGCGCGCAATCAAAACTTCGAGAGATAGAGAGTAAAATTCAATGAAATATGTGTAATGGGACCCAGATTTTGGTTCGAGAGATAGAGAACTTCGAGAGAGAGAAGTTCGAGAGATCAGGAGTAAATTTGCTTAATTATATAGAGGAAAAAAAACGGGACCGGAGGTTCACTTCGAGAGATAGAGAACTTCGAGAGATCGGAGTTCGAGCCATCGAGAGTCACCTGTACTCATCTATAATACAATTTTTAATTTATTTAATTTTATTACAAATTTTTTTCCATACAGATTTAAACATTAACAATAAAATGTCTATCTTTTGTTAGTAAGAAATTAACATCGCAGCTATTGTAGAAAAAATACTTAATGTGCTTACAGAGGTTAATATGTATTTTTCTCCAGTGACATTAATTCCAATACTAACAACCAAAGAAAGCATTTTATTATCTAAGTAAACTTTCCTCTCACATTGGAGTCATACTCTGCCTTATCCACATAAAACTGTAATTCAGTTATTTTGTTTCACAGACAAATATATAATCTTTATTTAACACCTCTCCCAAATTAAGGTCTTCCGTTTCCAACGGAAGACCTTCTACTGATTCTGATGGTTAAGATTATTCTTATTATTCTTTTTTTTTTCCTAGACGCCAACTTTGAGACCTCGTAACTCGCTCATTTCTCAACGGATTTCGCTCAAATTTTCAGAGGTTATAGACATTTATAAACTCTATCAGAATGCCAACTAAAATTTCAAAAAGTCACTTCCGGTTTTGAGTTATTTCCCTTTTAACGAAAATTTATAGGCTTTCGTTTCCAGACAAAGGCTCAGAGACGGCTAAAGCTGGAGCAGAAATTCTACTGATTTTAGATAACAGAAGGATTGAAGTTGTGCACATCGGTTTTTGTTTTTCGATTTCTCTATTCAAAATGGCGCTATATAGGGGTAAAAAATTAGAACGCTTAAAAGAACCAAAAATTACTCATATTTTGCTTCTTATCTTCTAAACTAAAAATATTTTGTTAAAATATATAGAGCATAATTTGTGAAGAATTAGAAGATCTTTCAAATGATATGTCGGAAAAAGGGCTGACCCCTAAATTAAGGGATCTTGAGGGGCCAAAAGTTTTTTCCAGATATCTTTAAAAGCATTGAGATTTTGTTATACATCAAAGAAGCAAAATTGTTGAAAATGTCAAGCTAAATCGTCCAACGTCCTCACTTCCTGCCAAACCGGAAGTAGTCGGAAAACGCGTATTTCTGCCGTTTTTGACAAGTTTTTGGGCAACATATGTCTCTGGGAGCTTAAAAATTAATTTTTCGTGCGTAGTCGTCACTTCCGGTCAAACCGGAAGTAGCAAAAAATGGCTTATTTTTGCATTAATAAACATAGCTTTAGAGGATTCAAAGCATTTTTGGGCGTTATTTCTCATTTTTGTTAAAAATGAGAGCGACTTCCGGTCAAACAGGACGGAAGACCTACTCGTTGCTTTGCAACAAGCTTTGCTCTAGTTTTTCATCCTTTTTAAATGTTGCAATAATATTGCAATAAACTAATACACTGTAAATCAAAAAATTAAGACCTACTATCTTTAGCTACTTAACTTGTGGCCCCTTCCCAATCATTTTTTTTCAACACTTTTAATTTTCATTTAATTTCTTGTTTCAATAGACATTAAGAGAATGTTTCATTATAAAGCTACGGTACCAGTATATCATTTCTCTTGGTTGCTTTTTGACTAATTTTTTTTATAGCAACATATATTAAATCTGTCTGTCTAGTAATCCAGTGTG